AAACAATACCAGACAGCTAGACTAAATGCATTTTAGTTTCGAAATTCTAGCTGTTTGGTATTGTTTAATCACCCTATTATATTCTTTTATCAAATGTAGTCGATACTCGATATGACAAACATTTTTCAATTGTTAGTCGAACGTTAAATTTAATACAATCAAATATATTTCAGATGTAGATTATTCCACTAGATTTACTCTCGTTTCGTCCCCGCTCATCTAGTCCCTTATATTTTCTATTATTCTATTTATTTTATAACTCTCTATTTCTTTCTATCAATAGTATTTCGACAATTTCAACATTTCTAATAACTTTTTAAACTATTCATAATACTTTTTCAAAAATTGTAGACTATATTTGAGTACGTACTAACAAATTTCGTTTTTCAAACTCTTTCGTTATTCTACTGTGAATACACTATTTTGTTTTGAGCTGATATTTTTTTTCGTTCGTACCATTTTCGTTGCGACTTTCTAACAAGACGTTCATCATTGAGTTTAATTCGAATGTTCCGTTGTTGTTGTTGTTATTTATTTGAGGTTTATTTCGATAATGAGGAGTTTGCATTGGAGATATATCTGTCATTTCATCACTGCCACTACCAGTTTCTGATTCTGAACTCGAGTTATTATTATCATAATTATCCATTAAAGTTCTATCTAAATGAAAAATGTTGAAATATTTTATATAAAATAAAATTATGTGCGTAAAAACAAATACATCTAAGATAAACTAAACTGTTCTAGACGGATATAACACGATTTTGGCACTTTTAGAGAGAGAACCTAAATCATAGCACGTTAAACTGCGCTTACCCAGTCTGTACATGGGTGGTTTTGATGTTACAATTTCGATTTCACTTATCGGTTTTGGATCTGATATTTCCGGTGCTGGTCTCTCTAAAGTCGAAGTAGATGACGAAGATTGTCCATGAACGATCGATTTTCTTTGTTGTTGTTCTGTTGTTTTTGTAATGTTTTGTGTTTCATTTTGGGTTGGTCGTCGTCCATCTTCCGGTGACATGTGACGAGAAGATGGGGAAGATGAAGTTGAACGACGATGTTCGATCATAGTGGTTATGGGACAGTTGATTTTATGGTGATGATTTTTACGATGAGATGAATATAACGAATCACGAGTGTTCGTATCGAAAAACCATCGATGGAAGAATTAACGGCTGATCCATATTGCACTCACAATGATGTTAAAAAAAGATCTGTTTATCAGGTTTACCTAAAACGATAAAGTAGAGAGTCATAATTATTAATAGCAACCTACTTTGAAATGACGGCTGCTTATAGTGTAGCTTATCAGGCACATTGTAGCAGTACAGGAACTCCTTTTTTTAATTTAATATGAGATTCTTCTGCGCAAAAAAGATTTATTTGTCAGTTTTATTGACTGAATTGAGTCGAGAGAGCAGCGCATAAGTGAATAGAGCTTGCAAATTGTTACAGAAAACTTTAGATCGAAAATGTGTCAGGTCTTCAGTACAAAAACTCAGAAATATACAAGTATTTTTTACCTTAGTAGAACTTCTCGCAACCAAGACCTTGATTTTTTGAAGTATTTCAGTAACTGATCTTGACTCAAAATCTTGATGAGAAACCGATCTAAGATCATGAACAACTTGAAATTTCTAGAGTACTTGTACCAAGATCTTGATCATTAATGAATCACCACTTCTAAATCTATATTAAGTGAAATAACTCATTTTCCCCCGTTTTCGCGTAAAATTAGGAAATTCGTAACTCTATGAGATTCTCTAGGATGATCCTATGAGATTCTATAGGTGAGAGTAGTGTGGAATATTCTGTTACTTCTGAAGGTTTTTAGAATACCTTTTAAAAAATTGAAGTATTTTACGTTGGTTTATAACGGTTCTATCAAACTCCATGATATGCTGCAGATAAAATCGAGTGTATCTTGGTATTCTGAGGTAGCCTGGATCGGTTTTGAGACTGAGTTACGAATTTTCTAATTTTACGCGAAAACGGGGGAAAATGAGTTATTTCACCTAATACAGATTTTCACTAGGTTTTTGGACTTTTTCGGAAAACAAATGCTACCATGAGGCTCAGCGAGGTCGATAACCTATGTTTTCATGCGTTTTCAAATTTCTAAATATAAAGGAAATCCGCGTCTGAGATATCTCAGGAAAAGTCCGCTTCTGCCCGAACGATCGCAGATGGAACTGTGGGATTTTTGCAGATATGTAGACCAGATGTTGCTCGATGTTAGGCGTATTTTCGAAAAACATTAGACTTATATGAAAAGTTTCGGAGTGGCAATGCTGCCTTTGGAACATCGATCAGGTAACCGTGGTAGGCCTAATTGGTAGTACTGATCTATACATAGGAAGATGCTGTCAGATCCTGGCCATAAGACAGTGGAAGCCGCAGGTCTTCATCTTGTTTCATTTAAAAGTTATAAAAAAATATAACCGCGGCCACTGTTCATCTGGATAGATAATATTGATAAAATTATATACGTACAGAGCACGTAAAGGGATGGGCATATTAGAAGACCCGAGGTCTTATACTGTGTCCATTCCTTTAATAGGAAAACAGAAAAAAAGATACAAAAAGTTAGAAATAACTTTTACAATATACAACTGCTAGAGTTTTATCTTCAACTTGAGGAAATTGCTGTATGTGTGCCAGCTGTCATGTACTAAACAAACATATTTTTCAAGTGAACTGGTAGGAGTTCCGTTCAGCGTCTCCATTTCGCCTTTCGTTAAAAAGAATAAAATGGGCTCGTCCCGTTCGGTTCTTGCCTCGTCATCACCCCGTGTCTTGTCCAGCTGTCAAAAAATCTTCTTCGCGAGAACCGCCCCGTGAGGATCCTCACCGGCCACCTCTGGTATGCAGTCGATATCGCACATTAATAAATTCACAGCAATACATTATTCTATTTTCGGGCAGGAAATTTGGGATATCTACGTAAAACTTGTTATCAGCATAGAAGGTACTCGCTAAAAAAGGATCGTATTCTAAAAACCAAAAAATGGTATCCTGGGACACGGAAACCAGAATTGGTTCTTATTAGTAACAAATGCAGATACCCTTTTTTTTCGGTTCTGTAGACTTAAAAATACCCTTTTCCGTATCCTAGAATACCCAAAGAGCATTTTAAAATATCAAAAGGGTATCTTGGAAAACCAAATTGGTTTTCTAGAATACGAAAAAGAGTATTTCTAAGTCTACAAAACCGAAAAAAAAGGGTGTTACTAATAAGAACCAATTCTGATTTCCGTGTCCCAGGATACCATTTTTTGGTTTTTTAGAATACGATTCTTTTTTAGAGAGTAGGAGCATGATGTTTCAGTTAACAAATTTTCTTTCGCAATCCAAGAATCTAAACTCGTCAAATCGTTTTTCAAACAGAAATATGTCAGAATACTGGCATTTTTCTCATGTCAAGTGTTACCGCTACTTTACAACTCAAAACTTCTTTGACAATGACCATTTTCAAACGTTTTTCCAAATAGATGACTCTTCAAACTGGGTAGTGATTCAAAAACAGAGCGCATGTATTACTAGACAGATGTCAATACTGTTCAGCTTTGTTTCTTTTACGTACTGTATACAAGGAGAAACAGTCAATTTTAGTTGAATGGCATTTTGTTGAATCAGTGAATATGAACTACTACCTTATTTCATCGGAAATTCGAAGTCAGACCACAGTTTGTATTCAGGTGGATATCAAATAAAGAGTCAAAGGTGTAGTTAATTAAGATTGAATCCATACAAAATGGATTCTGATGTTTGAAAAATCGTTCATCCTCAATAATTTCCGAGGACGAAAAATGAATTCTGAAAATAAATGAAAACTTATGTCTAAAAGGAGGTGATAACTAATCATTTAATCCATAGTACTTTAAAGTAAGACTACAGGATTGTAAGACTACAAGAAAAATTATGTTTGCACGGCAAAAAAAAGAAAGCTGAGAACTAGATTCGAACTCCTGTACTATTTGCTCATATTGATAAAATACCGGTTGATACTGCCGGTATAACCGACCGGTATACCGCGCGGTTCGGTAGACCGTGCGGTAGTTTCACATGGCCATTAGGTTAACCTCCCATTATACTCAACGGTGACCGCTGCGGTAACCGGCGGTATTTCAGCGGTTCTGATGACATTGATAGATTTTTCTCCTCTCATTTTTTCTTGATTTACCGGAAATAGAATAGAAAAGCATAAAATTATAAAAAACATTGTAAAGAAAAGCAAATATTCATATTTTCGATTTCACATCAATTTGTAGTTTGATCATTTTAATTTATGCTGATGGTGAATCAATAGATTCGAAACGTTGTTATTATTTTATTTTTAAATTAATGAATAAAAAGAAATAAGTTGCTAAAATTATGTAAAATTCAAACTCTCTCATTTGCTATAAAAAAAGTTCGCAAATCGTCTTACTTATTAATCTCAAACTCAAAGAAATCTTTTCACTGAAAAAAAACTCATCTCAACAATTTCACGTAAGACATAGGTCAAAATTTCTGAGAATATCGATTATGTCAAATTAAAGTAAAGCACCAACATTTATAGTTTTTAAGATGTTTTTACAACAGTAGTCAATAAATCCTATTGTCTCAAGCATTAGATTCAATTTAAAATGATTAAAGACTAGTTAAAATCATTACTGAAAATTATAGTAAATTCCGAAACTCTAAACGCTTTCCACAAAAGGGAACTTGTTTCAATAAATATTGATCAAAATATCATTCGTAGCTTTTCCTATATCTTAATTATTTCAGAAAAGTTTATTCTACAAAATGGTATTAATAAAATAAATATTTTCACTTAAAAACTATCGAAGTAATTCAATTTTTAAAAATTTATATTTTAAAAGCTTTTAGAAAAAGTATTTCAATAGCCATAAAAAAAAAATCTTCAATATTATCGAAGCAGTATGAAACTTGAGACTAAATAGTGTAAAACTATCTGTTCATATGTTAATCTGAATATTGAGTTTTCACATCAAATTTTTGTCATTTCTGACATCTGAAAAAAGTATATGTTTAACGTGTTAAATAAACACATTGTCATTGATATGTGTTCACTATATTTGTCGCTTATACGTTGTCTACCTTCACATACATACATCATCTCTTTTACAGGTAATGAAAAATGTCACGCATCACCAAGCGTTACATGATAACGAAAGAAATTTTTCTTTTTGATATCATAAAAAAAACTCTCTTCGTTAGTTAAATTACAAAAGAGAGAAAATTAAAAAAATTAAAAATAATTGTCTGGAAGTATAAAGTACATACATAAAGAAAAAGTCTAAAAAAGAAGTAAGTGATTGATTATAGAATGGGTTTGTCTAGTTCAAAAAATAAAAATAAATATTTACTACGTCAAAAACCGTTTTTACCCGATTCTGGTCGACGTTCACCAAGAATAAGACCATATTCGAGATCTATTGGACCACAAATCGATTACAATTATTTAGAACAGCCATCGTCAACTCATAGAAATGCACAGTCATATTATTCATATAGTCAAATACCAATTATTCCCTACTCTCAACTAGCTTATCGTCAAACAGGATGTCCAGTACCCATTTATCCATCACCAATGCTAACTGGACCAATAGGTTCGGTACCAATGTATCCACAATTATTACCCCAATCATTTATGCCCTACGGTACTCCGATTACGCCTGTCCAATCACCGTTTTCGATGTATCAACCATTTTTACAATCTCCCGCTCAGTCATTTCCTCAAATAATACAACCACAACAACCACTAATTTTTGGTAGAAGTCCAGTGATGATGATGGCCCCGTCTGCATTACCTTTTCAGTTTCCATATCAATTTCAAGGACAATCTTCACCTGTTATTCAACCAATGCCGGTCTACAATCCAGTACCGCAACAGGCTCAACAACAACAACCACAGCAACAGTTCGTACCAATAGTAACCGATTGGACAGGTGGAGGGCAAATTTCACCCGGTTTTCTTGGACCACCGCTTTAGATTTGTTTTCATATCCGTTATTATTAGGAAAATAGAATTTATTTTTATTTTCATTCCATGTGATCCTTGAATATCATCAGATCGGAAAAGGGAACATGGTTCTAAACAGCAAATCTTATAAAGATCCTGAGAACGTGTACCGGAGCCCTTTTCAGCTACAGCCCAATGAGTAAAAGCGTCCGTATGACAACATCGTTGCCAGAGTGAAAATGAACAGCGGCATACAAGACTTCACTAATCAGAAATTCTTTATTTTTTTTTTCAGAACCCTATTCATTTAAAAATATAAAAGTTCATATTGAAAGCAATGTTTTTATTGATGTTTTCATTTATACACATTCACTTGTTAATCTAAGTCATTTACTATTGTCGTTTCTTTTCTTTTTCTCTCCTACTTAAATGTTTTGTGTGTTATCTTTATTATACATTCTCTTTGTAAAATTAAATAGTTTTACTTTTTTTTTATGTGAAAAAGTTTACTTTATTCAATTATTAACGTACACATTTGATACAATGTGAAAATATTACAGACTGATCAATAATCACTATCATCTTCTTTCTTATTATCATTATTTAAACGTCGCGTCTCTATCCATATTCTTCTCTCGTTTCTTCGATCATAAGGTACATGTAAATCAGAAGAAGAAGAAGAAAAATGAAATTATTCAACCGCGCATATATAATTATGATTTGATTTAATAATAAGACCTAAACCAACAAATGAGAACAGAAATGTGATGCACTGTACCGTATATCATATCCGTTAAATAATCAAAATGTAATTTACATACACGTACGAATTGATTTATTAACTGATAACAACAATCAAGCCCATCAAAAAAAGAAGAGCACAAAATGAAAGAAAAAAACAGGGAAATATGTGTGTATTTACATTTTCCTTTTCTTTCCTCTCTCTACTTGTCGAGACTCTTAAATTTTCTTCTTATAAAATGAAAAAACATCTCTATTAACTGTTACATATGACTGTTGGGTATAGAGAAAGGGCGTGCACAGACATACACACGCTAACACCTAACGTTCAATATACACAATTGTCTGTCAGCAAAAAACGTTTTGTAAGAAAATGAAAGTTTTCTGTAATTGATTATCTCATAGTGTCACAGAACAAAATTCGACTAAAAAGTCAAATTAGTAATTATATTGTCGACAAATGTTGACATTTGATGAGAAAAAACCTTGACAAATTTGTTAAGATATAGTTTAAAAATTCGTGCTGAAATGATAAGAGATGCAGAAAAAATTTGAGTCTCGATCGTTGTTCAACTTTTAAAATGTCTTTTTTTCATATTTCTATTTCTATATTTAATAGTTTTATTATTGTTTTCCTATATTTTTTGTGTTTCACATTGAAAAGTGTAATAGTATACTCTTCACAGTAATGTGGCTAAATGTTTTTTCTCGTACTTGACCAATAAATACAAAAAACTGACCTTATTGAAATATGTTGTCATACTATAACAATTTGTACGACTTTTATTATTGATCAAATACCCGAAGAGCTCTTTTTTTGTGCTTCATACAAATATTTTCATAAACTTCTCATTCATCTTTGTAGATGGGCAAGATATAAAGTAAAGAATAATTTCAGACGTAACTCCCTTGAATAGAAGGTCGGCTGTGCGTATCTAAGATGGCAGATAGTTGTTTACTATTAGAGCTGAAGGAGTGCGGTCATTAATCTCTCAGGTTTTTCCGTCAATGGACGTGAACTCTTACTCGCCACAGAATACAGTGAACAAGTTGGTTCTCAAATATACTTTTTTTTCCTCATATGTTTTCTCTTTATTAAGTAGAAAAACTTACTGTTGCAGCAATTATGACCATACACCCATATGTAATTCATCGAGCCAACGGCTTTACCTAAAAATAAACAACAAAATATTAAGTTGTCAGATAAGTGGTAGAAATAAATGAACTGTAAAACTTGAGAGAGTTGCTCATTCTTCTTTTCAATTTCCGCTGAAAGAAATTCAACTTTAGGCATAGTATAAGAGTCAGGTGTAACGTAGTCATCCTTATACAGTTGTATATTGTAATGTTATTCTTGGACGATAAGTTTACTCGACTGATAATCGATCCGAGCTCTGTGTTTCATTACCCAATGTGCATTAGATTTAGTCTCGGTAGCTTAGCGGTTAGCTACCTAACAGAGTATCAGGTCAGTGAACCATGGAGCTACCATCGATTCTTCATTGTGGCATCTTATCCTAGAAAAATAACATCACAATTTATATCGCAGTTTACATCTTTACATATCACTAACTATATGTTCAAAAGTGAGTCTACCTGGTATGTTATAATGCAAATTCAGATCTCTCACTGTCTCTGTTCAATAAAAGATGGTGTATTGTTTTTGTTTTGAAGACGAGTGACAACAAAGACTCAACGATCAAGGTAGTACCGTTAGTCCTATCTTTATTATCGTTATCTCAGCGAATATGGGAAAATATATCAATTTATTGAAGCCATCTATGTATTCCGAAGCTACTATTAATCAGATCTATCATTACATCTTGAAATAAACAATTGTAAATTAGCTTGTTAATCCTCATATCTTGAACGCTTATACAGATAGCTCAGAACTCCAATACTTAGCTAAAATAGTATGAATATATCGATTCTGAAAGTGAAAGAAAGATAGTGGAAAAGTTTAAAATTTCATTTAAGATTGAACTTCGTTTCTGTATCGGACTTGAGAAATAAAAAATGCAGTTACAGAAAGTCGGTAAAGATTGTAGAAAGACACTAATTTTTATAGAAGCAGAGCTGCATCTCACAAACGTATTTAATTATGAACCACTCGTGAGCTTTTCTTCCTATTAGGACGGAGCAAATGAAAATAAAACGAAGAGTATGATAATACCTTGAAGAAACAGACTATGCTTCGTAGTAAATAAAGCAGTTTTCCACCATTCTGAAAGGATCTATTTATTCTCCAAAGGATCTATTTATTCCATTGTATCCATTTAAAGGCATTTCTTATTCTTTGTGAAATTCGACCATTATGGACTGCTTTCTAGTTAACAACAACCTCACTAATAGTAACAAAAAGTAACTGACATTAGATAGTTTTGCTCATTAACTTCTCAAAAACTTGACCTATTTCTTTATATCGAAATAAATCCAGTTTTATTCAATGTCGCTGTTTGGTTACACACGTCGCCATCATCTATTCACTGTTAAAACGCAATACAAATACTCCACTCTGTGGTTTGCACGAATTGGTTGAGGGTTGTGGGACTAAAACTAGCACAGTAAGCCATTTGTTATGCGCGCATTTGCAAACATGTGAAGGAGAATATTCAGAACGTTGAAAACGGTATAGTTTTTTGTCTAGCCCACAAAAAGTGGCTTAAATGACATTTTTTAGGTAGTTAACACCGTTTCTTGACCATTTTTCGGCATTATAACGGGAAAAATATTAATGCCTAAAAGTGTCATTTTTTTAGCAGCCAAAAGACAGGCTGAACAAAAACAATTAATAGTAACCGTTTAATGATCACCTGTGTGTAATTATTGCTGTTTATGACCAAGGATCCAACTGTTGATGATGACTAATTTCTCTCTGACCACTATCATGAAATAAAGAACTTTTCCGTTTCCTAGGTATGATTGTTGCTATCACTACCATACCTATAACCAGTAGCTACTTTCTTAACACAAGCTTCGATGACTTATATAGTCAAGGAAGAACAAAACTCTACGCTTTCTATGAGAAAAAAACATGAGATGTAAGTGAGGTCAGCAAAACAAAAGGATCAATTAAACTGTAAACGGCAAACCCAAAAAAAACTTGTTACCGGTGCTTCTACGAAGCAAAAATGTGAAAACTTCCTACTGAACTGTTAGATGATAGCATAGAACATATGTAACATAGTAATAATATATCGTTTCTCTGCCAGATTCTTTGCAGAAAAACTGCAGATTTTTCAGTGTGCTGTGGGACCGTGGGATACACATTTATTTCATATATTTCAAATGTTTTAACACAAATATAAAAACAAAACAAAAACTGTAAAAATCTGTAGTTTCTCTGCAAAGAACCAAATCTGTAGCGACGCTTTGCAAAATCTGTAAAGTTACTGCAAAGATTTTTGTAGATTTATGTTGCAGAAAAATCACCTGGAAATGTCCGTTTTTTGTCGGTTCATGTAACGGTCATAAAATGGGCAATAAAATGTCATTTAATGGTTATCTAAATCTGAGCCTTACTAACACACAACTAATTGCTGGTTATTCATTATTAAAGGTCAAATGAAGGACAATAAATAGTGCCTGTCAGCGCCGCTAACAGGCACTATTTATTATCAATCTTAATTTTGAGATTTCTCTTGATATTAAAATTCTGGAATAGCTTCTTTTTTCTTATTTAACATCTAAAACTGAGTCGAAAAAGTTACTATAAATAATGTAATCATAAAATATTTGGAATCTCATTGGTACGATCGAAATGGTTCAGATGTATTTCACAAATCTATGCAATCATCTTCCTCAAAATATGAAGCCACATTGTATATTTTGTTAGAATTATCAGACTACCAGCAATAAAAGTATATATCGCTTTCTTAATTTTGCCTTGTTGCCGAAAAATTTCATTTTTTATCTGAACTATGCCCTAAACGGCCGGGTCTTTTCTCGATAAATTTAACCATTCTCACTCAAATTTGTTCCAAAAGGTTTATATGGGTAAAAAAGAATGTAGAATTCAACGAACAGTCATATTAAATATGTCCACTTCCCTAGAGCCTGTTGGCTATGGATAGTACTTGACATATACTACTTATGTTCGAAAGATGAACATTTAATACTGTTCCCAGGCCGAGATATTTGTTAGTTTTTTGGATAAGTTTGTTCTTACACTATTTAAGGGCTTTTACGAAAAACTTCATAACTCCAAAAGGAAGCAACTCTTGATCAAAAATTAATCTAATAGTATGAGGCAAAAATGTAAACGATTGAGCAGCATATGTGACAATAGGTCGCCTTCTTCCTGCAATCGCTCTTAAGTGAATTTGAAATATTTAAAAAGCAATTTTCGATTTAACAAAGACATTTTAAGAGCTGGTGTTAATGTCATTCGATTGAGCACATGAAAATAGATATTTTCAAATATTTTTATTTTCAGCTTTTTTCACAGGAGAAAAATTTGGTTTGGTCTTAAACTCATCTGATTGAGTCTTACCATTACGTATCCAAACTGAAGTTATAAAATTACTTTAGGAGTGAGTACTTTATTATGGATTTTACGAAAATTAGCTCAGAGGGTGTTCTAACATGAGAATGTCTTTATATCAGTAATGTGCATTGTTTATTATACAAATGACTGATTAGAAAGATTTGTTTTTGAAGCTTTTCTTACTCACTTTTTTTTGTTTATTCACAGACATGGGATAGAAGTCAAGAATCCTTGGTTCTGTTAATCTCAACTTATCATATATCTAACATAGACTGACGACTCGATTTTCATTGGATAAAGAATCATAACACATAGGTAAATATTTGGAAAGCACTATAATTGGGATACTAGTCAAAAAAATTAATCATAGAAACCGTTCCATAATTGACCGTTAACAGTCAGTTCTGGTGCAAAGCGGCCATTTCATGCTGCTATTAACTGTCTATTTTCGCACAGTTTTCAGCCTGTTAAAAAGTGCCATTTTAAGGCATTAAAACGTTCCCATTTATAAGGTGTAAAAATGACTCTTTAACGACTATTTCATTAGCTATTAACTGGCATTTAATAGACAATTAATCACACCGTTTTCGACGTCATGGGTTCATATCACCTTTCTTTTTTGTAAAATTCATTACTAATCAAAGACGTTTTACAGTTCTCAAATTCTTTTATAATCTAACTTTTGACCCAGGCAAAAGTACTCCAGCCGAAATATCTAGATGCTTTAGTTGGAGTATCGGTCGATATTTTTTACTCTTTCATTTAGATATTCCAGTTAGAGCATCGAGTTAGCCATCTGCATCAGTCGATGTATTGCCCGATATATTGAATGCACCGAGTTTTTCCCGATGAAAATGTCAATTCACGGGCAATGCTATCTAGTTGAATCGAGAGAAACATTTATCTGCATCTATATGCGTCATAACACCTCCCTCCAATAACAAAGATGCGCGTCCCGCACATCGAAAAATCAGAAAGGGAAATAAAAGGAGAAATACATAGAGATATCACGTTAACAGATTAAAGGATCTGAGAATACAAAAAAGCAAAAAGAATAGTATACAAAAATAGACAAAAATAGTTCACAGTATTGACCGACAGATGATTGTTGTCGGAGAGAATCGTGCCACACTAAGACTTGTATTGCCACGCCACAAGCTTGTCTGCCAATTGAGGCTCGACCTTTGAGGACAGGTATTGAGAGTCGCTTGTCGAGCCGATGTCGAATGTATTGTCGACTTGTCACCAAATGACTATATCTGAGGCTGTGTGCGTCCAAAGAGTAACCGATAATGTTGGCCACGATTAAATGCGCCCGAGTTGCACACATCGAGCCCATCAATGGGACACGGCTCTTCTTTTTCATTGTCTCTTGAGTTACCTTGTCGACGATCGATGCCTCCCGCCTGTATTAGTCTTCCTACGTGAAGATCAATGTGGGGTAGCGAAATCCACGTAACGCTAGTGGTCGGTGTTCTTAGCCGGAACGCGACACTGACGGGTTGACTGTTGGACGTTCGACAAAAATCAGAAGACGGAGAAATTGAAACGATTTGTCGCCCGGACCGCACCGAGTCGTGATGGAAAAGACGACCAGTCGGCTAGTGCACCAATTGTGAGATCGAACTTCCACTCTATTGTTTATTTAAAGCAAATGAACGACTAGATATAGTGGACAAGTTGAGCAAGAGTTTTGCAAGAGTTGCGCAAAAACGGAAAGAGTTAGGAAAAGCACAGGATGACATAAGAGTTGTGTAAGGATGGTACAAGAGTAAAATCTTATGAGCTGCCGGGACGGCAGGTCATAACACTCGATGCTTTTTCTGTGCTTGGGGAACGTAGAATCAAATGATATGATTTCCAGAAAAATTGTTTTTAGCATATTATAGCTTTTTTCGAGGCCCCTGCGAATTCTTTCTTAATTTTATTGTAATCCGTCAAGTTGATGGAATAGTGAGTATACTACATATTTGATGAAAAGATAAAAGGTTTTCCATTTTCACTTTATTTTCTTCTATATCTATCTGTACGTGTGTACAAAAGGAAATGAAATCAAACAAATAGATAAGTGACATTACAATGCAGAACGAATACTGTTGAATAGCTTGGAAATCTTAGTGGAGCACGTAAGATCCTAAAATTGCTTGTACTCCGACAAGATCTTTGCGCAGTATAAAGTTTCTCATCACACCGATTTCAAATATATTTTAGCCAAAAATAAAAAAGCGTGAAACTATCTCCAACAATCCGCGAAGAATTTCAGGCACTATACCAGAAGTAGATAAATGCTATCTGTTTAATATACTCGCATTATAGTTTGATGTAAGTGTTCCATAAGATACTCGAACGATTATTTATTTGTAATTAAGTTATAACTTCTGCATACTTAGCAATTTAGACAGTTTCTTTCTCAGTAGAGCGTCTAACTTTTTTCAAGTCGCTGAAACGCCTTAGCTACTGATGCTCGATTCTGTTATCTGTGAATAGTCTAATGGTATTTCAACACAGCCACGAAATAAAGTTTTATTTTCCTTCTAATTAGTTGTTTAGAGATACTTCGATCTTCTCTTTAAATTGTTTAATAAATAATTGTAGACTCTCTTTATTTTTCATTTTCAGTCGCTTGTGCTTTGTTTCGAAAAGATAATACCACCCTATTTGACCAAATCTTGCAGCATTGTTTATTTACTTACTCTCAGTACTTTTGTTTCTTCCTCTAAATCTTGGTTATCCTTATTTTATTTGTACATTTATGCAAGAAGAGAACGGGCTCTTTTTCATATTTATTAAGAAAAGTCATATTAGTGATAGAAAAAGACGAAAACTTTCGATACGCGTCGTATTCGTATTTTGACATATATAACATTATAGATAAAAACTAAAAACTATCACAAGTTTTTGCTTTTACACATCTTTCCAGTACTTATTCTATAGTTTTTGTCAAAACGGCAAATTTTAATAATTCTCTATTAACTTTTGGTACGAATTGATCAATATCAGAAAAAGGAACATAACGTCCTGTATTTATAAAACCTTGCCTTATTTTCAGGTCTATTTGATTTGTTTTACTCGCAATAATATGTAAATAAACACGTTTGGCATTCATATGTTCTTTGGAAACACGCTAAAGAAAAGCGAATTGTTCTTTTAAGATATTTCTTAAATTTTTAAGTGGTTTTTGATGGTTCTTTCATGAAAGCACCAATTTATTCCTCATTTTTCGTTGCTTGCAAAAGCCTTAATACCTAGGATTATAGAGGAGACTTTGTTTGGTTGTATGTGGAGATATCAAATATTTATGGTAAAACAATTCTCTCCAAATCCTCAAATCAGTTCTAGAGCAAGTGCATTTCCTTATATTACTTACTATAGCTGCGTTATACACTAATGTACCAATTCCTTTACTTTGATAATCTGGATCAACAGCATGTAAACCAATTTCAATAGCAGTACCATCTTGTTTTTCTTCTAACGGTTGTAAATTACTATCGTATAGTTCAACTTTAATGCAGCCCACAATTTCTTTTTTATGAGGTATATCTGTGTTAATAAATTTTGCAGCAATAATAATGGTATCAGGATTTTCTTTGTTCTGTTCCATTTTATCAATATATTCTTTTAATTGATATGGTAATATTCTTGTTCCACTTAATAAATGTTCTTCACCTATCCAACCAGAATATGTTTCTTTTGAATTTGTAGCTGATGGTTTACCACGATATGCCCAGTTAACAATATTACATAAGTCATCAATATAATCGTATGAAGCAAAACATAATTCAATGCTAAAACCATTTCGTTCGTGTGTTTCAATTATACCGCCAAGTTCGATTATTGGCTTACCATTTTGGTTTCCTATGTAAATAAAATGAGTATTTTTTCAAATCATTTCGTGATGTATTTCTAATTCTAATCAACTGATAAAAAGAAAGAGAGCAGAAAAGTCAATAAGGTCAATTTTCGTCTATGTCTCCTAGAAGTGAAGTTAACTGCTGGAACTCGAACGAGATTTTAGATGAACTTTAGCCCATTCATTCCCGATTTTTGTTTGAGTTAGATTTATTTATAACGTGCTCAATACCATGCAGGTTAATAAAAGTTTTAAAAAGCAACAGAGAATACGCTGGTTTTCTAGAAAACCTTTTCGAAAACGAGCGTATTCTCTGTTGCTTTTTAAAACTTTTATTAACCTGCATGGTATTGACCACGTAAAATAGAGTACATCTTGATATTCTGACATAATTTGGATGAATCTTGACTGGTTTATGAATTTTTAATTTTATTCAAAAATAGGCAAAAATGGATTACATCACCTAGTATACGTTTTCACTAAGTTTCTGGAACTGTTTTGAAAAAAAAATGTTGTAACAAGATTCACCGTAATCGATTACCTATGTCTCCATTCGTTTTTGAGATTACCACATCTAAAGAAATATCTAAAACCTATATAAATATATAGGGCTTCGAGCAAACCCGATGCCACGCCTAACCCACAGAAAACTAAGAGTTCGCTTAATTCCCATTTTAAACAAGACACTTTGGACTATCTACGTATGGAAAAAAATCGATAGGTTTCTGCTTTAGTTTTGAGAGGCACGAAGTGATTTTTCAAAGATCCTTTGAAAACCCGATATTTGAAATTTTTCCAAAATCAATTTCTGTTTATGAAAACATAGCTTCAAGTATTGACTATCGAATATTGAAAACCGCACGTTAATATCTTGCATCGTTCACGACTTATAAATAAATTTAACTCATGTCTGTTTAAACAGACATCGGAAATGAACGGGTTAAGCTGGCGAGGGGACATTGCGAAGTGATTAGAAAAACTTGAACTGATGTTTTGCAGATCGATCAGATCAATGATTGTAAGAAAAGTCCAAAAGAATTTAGGCTTATGTGATCTCGTTGGTGAGTTATGAACGATTCTGTTAGGTTTAAGACTTTGGAATTCTTATAACTCATCAGTCTGGCTTATCATGTGACATAAGAGCAATTGACTTTCCATTTTTTCGAGTTGTTCCGGCATACAGTTCCGATCTTCACAAGAAAAGTTTCTTCTTTGACTAGAACGCTTATCGGTAACATTTTGAGAAGGCAAATATAGAGGTTTGTAGCGCTTGGAAATCTCTGATTGCTTTACCGTTTCCAATAAACCGTTAATTTGCAAATAAAAGGATAAGGCACCAGAGTGATATTGATTAGTATTCATTAGCATTGATTAATTATAAATTATTGTCTTAAAAAGATGTTTTTTAAAATCAGACCATAACAAGAGACGATTAGCTACCAAGCAATGCATGAATGACTTTTCTACGATTATTTTTGATTGAGCTACAAGCTTTTTAAAATGAGGACTAGGACTTAATAGACTTAATCAATTAATAACTCTTTCAATAGTTATCAGTTCATCAAACGAACTTAAGGATATATGTAATCAGGTGTCCTCTTCAAACTGACATAGTTTGAGGGCACATATTTGGGAAGGTGGACTCCCCTCCCCCTTCGGACGAAGGAGTGTTCTACTTTATCACTTTTTCTTTCTTCAGTTAGGTATGCATTTTCTATAGGTATAAGAGTGTCACGCACACTTAAATCAACTTTGACAGTTTCTACTTTAGATCACAATTCAGCCTATGCCAGTAAGAATTTTAATTTAGGCAAAGACAGTGGTGGCGTGAAGTTTTGGTAGGAAGGTCCGAAAATCGGAGACGTTCACCAGAAATTTCTCAAAAGCATGACGAGGTCAGTCTCCATACATACTGGTCGCACCGCCACTCAGTGTAGACTCGCCAAGAAATTTCCAGTTTAAATGAAATCAAAAAGGAATTTCTACTTTCCTGAAAATTATTTATGGAAATTCAACGGTGATTTTCTAGCTTGTTGAAAATTCGATTTTCTATAAACTGGAAATTCCTCAGCGAATTCTCATAGGTACTTTTTGAAATTCGCCGAGCATTTTCCATAAATAATTTCCAACCTTACAGTATACTGGAGAGAATGATTTTTTTGTGAAATTTTCTAAACTAATATCCCTTCTCCTTACTGCTACCTAGAATCATTATTACTATAAGTATCAATTCTCTAATTACTAATGGTAGTGCTGATGAGGATGAAGAGTTTGTTGACAGCATTAATGGAACAGTAAACCGCTAACGATAGTCCAAAATCTTCCTACTTCACAAATAATGCTAACTTTGGAGTCGGTTCTGTAGTTCTGGTTAATTTGCTTACAGACAGTAGCTATAGCACTAGCTACTCATATCCACTGTCGGGATCGTCGAAATAACACTAAAATGCATAATCGCTACAATATCCAAGTGCATTTTGTTGGTTTATGCGAATTTGTGCTCCTCGTAACGTGTTAATCTTTTTTCTGGTAACAAATTCTCGTACATGTTCGAAAAATGCCTTATAAATTCCATATTAGCACTGTTAAAGTTTGTTAAGGTTCGAATATGTAAAATATGTTACCAGCGTTACATAACGAACAAAAATCATGAATCGTTCTATAGAGTGATAATTTGTGGCAGCAGTACGCTGTTGAGTGAATTGCGCTGCCATTGTACGATCGTTATCCGACATACGCAATTCCTATAATATAACTTTTTTATTGTAGAATAGATCTGACAGAAATTTTGCACAATACTCACCCTGACTATGCGCAGTACCACTAAACAAGCTCAAAATGTCTATCCATTCCCGATATGAGATATAAGCGCTTTGTTGAGCGAAAAGCGTTATTTTGACGACAGCTGACGACAATTAAATCACTTTCCTAATTGAAAGAAAGCTTCTTTGATCTTAGTTCTTGAGAGAGAATTATAGCAAACACCTTACTCTTTCAGAATATAACCATGAATTTATTATGCATTTACAATTGCGATGCGATTGTACGTCAATAATGACTTTACACATAGAATGACGTTTTTTCGTAAGGCGAGATTGAATGGACCATAGCTTAGCCAATTCTAGACTAAAACTTTATCCAAAAAGCTCAGAAGATAGCCAACAGATAATGCTACATTTCAATAAAAAAAGAAAGATTTGTTTGCTTCCAGTTTTGGCATAAAAAAGATTAAACTACTCTTGCTAACTGCGCTTTTTCTGCTAAAAGTAACGCGAGATTTCGAAAATTGTTTTTGCTATATCTTCCAAGCTACTGAACCTTTACCCTTAGCTTTTTTATCCTTTTTCATGTTGTTATCCTGAATATGTGATAAAAAGTTTACCTTGAAAAGCTTGGCCATTCGAGAGAAAATGCGTTTTATCTAAAAAAGTAACGCGAGATTAAAATGAGTGAATCTCTGGAAAAGACAGACCTAAACATAACTTATTATACACTATTTGATTTGTTTTCGAGAGACCTATTTACTGGTGTGTGTTAGAAGTATTCGAAACGGTTTTTGACTCTTTATGTGCTGGAAAACACGAGAAAATAAAGACTCTAGATGTTGTTTATGCTACGTTCATGGTGTTTGTTCGACCTTCAACATTGTACAGCCATAGACTCTTTTCTCTCCTTCCTTCTTCTTTGTCACATATTTCGTTATCTCTGAAGGTTTGTTGTTGTTGTTTTTTTGTGTAGATATCTGAGTTATATTCTAT